ACCCTCCCAAGATCATGTCTCAACACACACCCTCCCAAGATCATGTCTCAACACACACCCTCCCAAGATCATGTCTCAACACACACCCTCCCAAGATCATGTCTCAACACACACCCTCCCAAGATCATGTCTCAACACACACCCTCCCAAGATCATGTCTCAACACACACCCTTCCAAGATCATGTCTCAACCCACACCCTCCCAAGATCATGTCTCAACACACACCCTCCCAAGATCATGTCTCAACACACACCCTCCCAAGATCATGTCTCAACACACACCCTCCCAAGATCATGTCTCAACACACACCCTCCCAAGATCATGTCTCAACACACACCCTCCCAAGATCATGTCTCAACACACACCCTCCCACGATCATATCTCAACCCACACCCTCCCAAGATCATGTCTCAACACACACCCTCCCGAGATCATGTCTCAACACACACCCTCCCAAGATCATGTCTCAACACACACCCTCCCAAGATCATGTCTCAACACACACCCTCCCAAGATCATGTCTCAACACACACCCTCCCAAGATCATGTCTCAACACACACCCTCCCAAGATCATGTCTCAACACACACCCTCCCAAGATCATGTCTCAACACACACCCTCCCAAGATCATGTCTCAACACACACCCTTCCAAGATCATGTCTCAACCCACACCCTCCCAAGATCATGTCTCAACACACACCCTCCCAAGATCATGTCTCAACACACACCCTCCCAAGATCATGTCTCAACACACACCCTCCCAAGATCATGTCTCAACACACACCCTCCCAAGATCATGTCTCAACACACACCCTCCCAAGATCATGTCTCAACACACACCCTCCCAAGATCATGTCTCAACACACACCCTCCCAAGATCATGTCTCAACACACACCCTCCCACGATCATGTCTCAACCCACAACCTCCCGAGATCATGTCTCAACACACACCCTCCCGAGATCATGTCTCAACACACACCCTCCCAAGATCATGTCTCAACACACACCCTCCCGAGATCATGTCTCAACACACACCCTCCCAAGATCATGTCTCAACACACACCCTCCCGAGATCATGTCTCAACACACACCCTCCCGAGATCATGTCTCAACACACACCCTCCCAAGATCATGTCTCAACACACACCCTCCCAAGATCATGTCTCAACACACACCCTCCCAAGATCATGTCTCAACACACACCCTCCCAAGATCATGTCTCAACACACACCCTTCCAAGATCATGTCTCAACACACACCCTCCCAAGATCATGTCTCAACACACACCCTCCCAAGATCATGTCTCAACACACACCCTCCCAAGATCATGTCTCAACACACACCCTCCCAAGATCATGTCTCAACACACACCCTTCCAAGATCATGTCTCAACCCACACCCTCCCAAGATCATGTCTCAACACACACCCTCCCAAGTTCATGTCTCAACACACACCCTCCCAAGATCATGTCTCAACACACACCCTCCCAAGATCATGTCTCAACACACACCCTCCCAAGATCATGTCTCAACACACACCCTCCCAAGATCATGTCTCAACACACACCCTCCCAAGATCATGTCTCAACACACACCCTCCCACGATCATATCTCAACCCACACCCTCCCAAGATCATGTCTCAACACACACCCTCCCGAGATCATGTCTCAACACACACCCTCCCAAGATCATGTCTCAACACACACCCTCCCAAGATCATGTCTCAACACACACCCTCCCAAGATCATGTCTCAACACACACCCTCCCAAGATCATGTCTCAACACACACCCTCCCAAGATCATGTCTCAACACACACCCTCCCAAGATCATGTCTCAACACACACCCTCCCAAGATCATGTCTCAACACACACCCTTCCAAGATCATGTCTCAACCCACACCCTCCCAAGATCATGTCTCAACACACACCCTCCCAAGATCATGTCTCAACACACACCCTCCCAAGATCATGTCTCAACACACACCCTCCCAAGATCATGTCTCAACACACACCCTCCCAAGATCATGTCTCAACACACACCCTCCCAAGATCATGTCTCAACACACACCCTCCCAAGATCATGTCTCAACACACACCCTCCCAAGATCATGTCTCAACACACACCCTCCCACGATCATGTCTCAACCCACAACCTCCCGAGATCATGTCTCAACACACACCCTCCCGAGATCATGTCTCAACACACACCCTCCCAAGATCATGTCTCAACACACACCCTCCCGAGATCATGTCTCAACACACACCATCCCAAGATCATGTCTCAACACACACCCTCCCGAGATCATGTCTCAACACACACCCTCCCAAGATCATGTCTCAACACACACCCTCCCAAGATCATGTCTCAACACACACCCTCCCAAGATCATGTCTCAACACACACCCTCCCAAGATCATGTCTCAACACACACCCTCCCAAGATCATGTCTCAACACACACCCTTCCAAGATCATGTCTCAACCCACACCCTCCCAAGATCATGTCTCAACACACACCCTCCCAAGATCATGTCTCAACACACACCCTCCCAAGATCATGTCTCAACACACACCCTCCCAAGATCATGTCTCAACACACACCCTCCCAAGATCATGTCTCAACACACACCCTCCCAAGATCATGTCTCAACACACACCCTTCCAAGATCATGTCTTAACACACACCCTTCCAAGATCATGTCTCAACACACACCCTTCCAAGATAATCTCAACCCAAATTCAACACGATCATGTCTGATTCCACCCTGAGATCTAAACTTTGATGTCATGGGTTGGTGGAGATCTAAACTTTGATGTCATGGGTTGGTGGAGATCTAAACTTTGATGTCATGGGTTGGTGGAGATCTAAACTTTGATGTCATGGGTTGGTGGAGATCTAAACTTTGATGTCATGGGTTGGTGGATATCTAAACTTTGATGTCATGGGTTGGTGGAGATCTAAACTTTGATGTCATGGGTTGGTGGAGATCTAAACTTTGATGTCATGGGTTGGTGGAGATCTAAACTTTGATGTCATGGGTTGGTGGAGATCTAAACTTTGATGTCATGGGTTGGTGGAGATCTAAACTTTGATGTCATGGGTTGGTGGATATCTAAACTTTGATGTCATGGGTTGGTGGAGATCTAAACTTTGATGTCATGAATTGGTGGAGATCTAAACTTTAATGTCATGGGTTGGTGGAGATCTAAACTTTGATGTCATGGGTTGGTGGAGATCTAAACTTTGATGTCATGAATTGGTGGAGATCTAAACTTTGATGTCATGGGTTGGTGCAGATCTAAACTTTGATGTCATGAATTGGTGGAGATCTAAACTTTGAGTCATGAATTGGTGGAGATCTAAACTTTGATGTCATGGGTTGGTGGAGATCTAAACTTTGATGTCATGGGTTGGTGGAGATCTAAACTTTGATGTCATGGGTTGGTGGAGATCTAAACTTTGATGTCATGAATTGGTGGAGATCTAAACTTTGAGTCATGAATTGGTGGAGATCTAAACTTTGATGTCATGGGTTGGTGGAGATCTAAACTTTGATGTCATGGGTTGGTGGAGATCTAAACTTTGATGTCATGAATTGGTGGAGATCTAAACTTTGAGTCATGAATTGGTGGAGATCTAAACTTTGATGTCATGGGTTGGTGGAGATCTAAACTTTGATGTCATGGGTTGGTGGAGATCTAAACTTTGATGTCATGGGTTGGTGGAGATCTAAACTTTGATGTCATGGGTTGGTGGAGATCTAAACTTTGATGTCATGGGTTGGTGGATATCTAAACTTTGATGTCATGGGTTGGTGGATATCTAAACTTTGATGTCATGGGTTGGTGGATATCTAAACTTTGATGTCATGGTTGGTGGATATCTAAACTTTGATGTCATGGGTTGGTGGAGATCTAAACTTTGATGTCATGGGTTGGTGGAGATCTAAACTTTGATGTCATGGGTTGGTGGAGATCTAAACTTTGATGTCATGGTTGGTGGATATCTAAACTTTGATGTCATGGGTTGGTGGATATCTAAACTTTGATGTCATGGGTTGGTGGAGATCTAAACTTTGATGTCATGGGTTGGTGCAGATCTAAACTTTGATGTCTCGGGTTGGTGGAGATCTAAACTTTGATGTCATGAATTGGTGGAGATCTAGCTTTGATGTCATGGGTTGGTGGAGATCTAAACTTTGATGTCATGGGTTGGTGCAGATCTAGCTTTGATGTCATGGGTTGGATGTCATGGGTTGGTGGAGATGTCAATAGCCCGAGCCCGCTTGATGTGAATATTAAATATTCATTAAAATCTTCCATTATTCACAACGAAATCTGAATCTTAGCCAGTCATCCCTTGTGGTTGTCGACAGTTTTTGCCCGTGTTTTACTGTAATTGTACCTGACCCTCGTTAACTCCATGTCCCACAGCCTCTCGCTACATTAGTTACGTGTATCTGAGTATAATTGTTTTTAATTCTTTATTTGAGCATAATTTGAGGATTGTGTAATAGCTGATCTAAAAATAGGCATTGGTGAAATTTTTAGGAACATTTCTAAACCGGAGGTTTTTAAACGCGAGGCTCATTAATTAAACAGAACTGATTAATTAACAGGATCATAGTATAAAATCTTTTTTTAACTTGAGTACGTGAATAAATTACTGTAATCACGCCCCGAGCACGCTTGGGTTTGTGAAATTAAAATATTTAATTAAGGATCAGCGTTGATTAGTTTAGCTCACTGTATTTGAATTGTTCCGAGTTAAAGTGATCGCTTTATTGATCGATTTCCTTAAACACTTTCAAATCTTATTGGGTAATATCAATAGTTCTCAAACTGTATAGGGAGGTGTCTCGCTGATATGGAGTTATCTCTCTTGTCACTAACCAACTGACTGATAACCAACTGACACACTGATTAACTGACCAATGGACCAGATGACCCTAAGACGACCAGATGACAGATGACCAGATGACCATATGTACTCACTCTGTTCTCGCCACATGACGTGTAGTCCGTCCAGGTCCTGTTGGAGACTGGATGTCTGAACCAAGTGCCGTCCTCATTACACGTCTTGTGGGCAAATTCTGAAATATTAGAGGTGATTGTAGGCAAATTCTGAAATATTAGAGGTCATTGTGGGCAAATTTTGAAATATTAGAGGTCATTGTAGGCAAAGTCTGAAATAGTAGAGGTCATTGTAGGCAAATTCTGAAATATTAGAGGTCATTGTGGGCAAATTCTGAAATATTAGAGGTCATTGTGGGCAAATTCTGAAATATTATAGGTCATTGTGGGCAAATTTTGAAATATTAGAGGTCATTGTGGGCAAATTCTGAAATATTAGAGGTCATTGTGGGCAAATTCTGAAATAGTAGAGGTCATTGTAGGCAAATTCTGAAATATTAGAGGTCATTGTAGGCAAAGTCTGAAATATCAGAGGTCATTGTGGGCAAATTCTGAAATAGTAGGTGGTAATTGTAGGTAAAGTCTGAAATATTAGAGGTAATTGTGGGCAAATTCTGAAATAGCAGAGGTAATTGTAGGCAAAGTCTGGAATATTGAAGTTAATTATAGACAAATTCTGAAATAGGTAATTGTAGCAAATCTGGAGTATTAGGTGATAATTGTACTTGAATATTATGAGGTGGTAGTTGTAGGGACAGAAGTAGGCCTGTTGTAAAACCATTATTTATTTTCTCCTAATGTAGGCATGTAGGCAATGAATTAAGATGAATCTCTCACCGTCTGGTAGAAAAGATTTCTCTATGTGATGGGGACACTCAGCCTTGGCCACTGTCCCACTTGGTGTGTAGTCCCAGCACAGTAAGCCATCAAACACAGCAGGGCAGTAGAGTTGTCCTGAAACACAATAAAACGTCAAGTTGAGATTGGAGTTATAGAATAGGTCATTTAATCAGTTGGAGTAGGTCATTTAATTATTTGGAGTTGTGGAGTAGGTCATTTAACTATTTGGAGTTGAGGAGAAGGTAATTAATTACTTGGAGATGTGTTGTAGGTCATTTAATTAATTGGAGTTGAGGAGTAGGTCATTTAATTAGTTGAAGTTGTGTCGTAGGTCATTTAATTAATTGGAGTTGAGGAGTAGGTAATTAATTACTTGGAGTTGTGTCGTAGGTAATTTAACTAATTGGAGTTGAGGAGTAGGTAATTTAATTAGTTGATGTTGTGTCGTAGGTCATTTAATTAATTGGAGTTGAGGAGTAGGTAATTAATTACTTGGAGTTGTGTCGTAGGTAATTTAACTAATTGGAGTTGAGGAGTAGGTCATTTAATTAGTTGATGTTGTGTCGTAGGTAATTTAATTATTTGGAGTAGGTCATTTAATTAATTGGAGTTGTGGAGTAGGTAATTTAATTAGTTGGAGTAGGTCATTTAATTAATTGGAGTTGTGGAGTAGGTAATTTAATTAATTGGAGTAGGTCATTTAATTAATTGGAGTTGTGGAGTAGGTAATTTAATTTATTGGAGTAGGTCATTTAATTAATTGGAGTTGTGGAGTAGGTCATTTAATAAGTTGATGTTGTAGAGCAGGTCATGCCATTGTTGTTGGAGCTGTTAACGCTGTCGAAAAGAAAGTCCCGTGAAAGTTAGAGTAAAGGGAGAACACGACCTTATATGTGTGGACGTTGTTTTAGAAAAATCAAAGTTTCCTATCTAATGCTCTGATACGTGAATCGCACCATCCATCAGCTCAAGTTAGCTCAGTTTTTAGCTGAAACTTTCAGCACACTGTTAGCTCAGATCTAAGCTCCAAAGATATTTAGCTACGCTTCGATTACTAAATAAACTCAGGAAATAAAAATAAACCCAGAAAAATGTCATTTAATAAATTAGCCATTATTATCAATGTTGCAATTAGAATGAAAGTGCCGCCAAGCATAAATCACCACCACATTTTTTATGTCAGCCAAACATACATCACGACATCAACTATTTATGTTTCTTATTAATACCGTTTAAATGTCGAGCTAAAGCGAAACTCACGAAAACATTTTTTAATCAATCTTTTCAGTAAGTAATTTCAGTGTATGGTCAACATATGGTTAATTGATTGGTCAACCTCTGGTTAATTGAATGGTCAACATCTGGCTAATTGATTGGTCAGCATCTGGCTAATTGAATGGTCAACATCTGGCTATTTGATTGGTCAGCATCTGGCTAATTGAATTGTCAACCTCTGGCTAATTGAATGATCAGCCTCTGGCTAATTGAATGGTCAACTTTTGGTTAATTGATTGGTCAACCATTAAATGTGAGGTGATGTAATGTATCTTATTCACCGGTGTATATGTATTAAACACGATCAGACTGTCAGAGGCTGATTCTTGTGTCACAGGCGCCGACATACAAGACATATCATGACATCAACCTTATAACGAACGTGTAATTAACACTACAACGAACCTATGAATAAACCCATTACGAACTGTAACTGACCTTTTAACAAACCTATAATAAACGTATAACTAACCTTATAACGAACTTATAAGTAACCTTATAATCTTAATAATCATAACTAAAATATAATCAACACATACACAAATATAGTACGACGTGAACCACGAAAGCAAAACAAAAACCTGTCCCATATATTTCTAGAGTTCGTAGTTTAATTCAGTACAGTAGTTTACTTAACCTTACAAATGTAATCGGCGTCTCTATTTAGATAGTGACATAAAGAACGAATGCTCTCCAATGCTACTATTTAGATAGTGACATAAAGAACGAATGCTCTCCGATGCTAATAAACACCTCTGGACATACTAGACCAGTGCACTGTGGGAGGTTAATCTTAGTGCAAGTAATTTATGAAACAATATTTTGGGTTGGAAAAATAAGTTTAAACTTATAAACAAATTAGTTGAAGAAAATTTGAAATAATTTTAAGAAAAAAAATCTCAATTTAGAAATAAATTAGAAGCAGAAATTTAGTTTAATTAGAAAAAAATTAAACAGAAATAAATTAGGTGCGGAAGAGATGGCTGGTGGGTTTATTTTAGATTAATTATTCATAATTTGATTGGTTGTTGCCGACGATAGAAACCACTTAAGTTCATTAATTATGCACAGGCCATTAGTTGAGAGCTTGAGTTGTGAAACGTTTGAGAAACGTTGAGGGGTTGGGGTGTGGGGGAGGTGTGGATATGGTGTGGGGGAGGTGTGGGTTGGGTGTGGGGGAGGTTCTTGAGTAGACGACCTTCGTCAAAGGTGAGGGTGAGGTAAATCAACTAGGTGGAGTAACGGATCGTTAACCGGCCTGGACGGGGTTCTTCTTCTCATTTGGTGATATCACGTGACTAAACACTCACAACAAGTGCCGTGTCGATAATGTCCATGTTCGACAGAAGTCGGTAGTTTCCGGAAAAGTTTTCGTGTTTTTGCTAAGTTACACTTATATAAAGTGATGGAGTATTTAGAAATAAAACATGGCGGCTCATAAAATAAGCGAGCGATTTATTAGTTTTGCCTTTACTTCCTGATATCAGAGATTCTGTCTCAAAATTACTCCAAGAAATAAAACCGTTCATGCGAACATTGTATGAAATTCAGCACTACACTTTAATGGGCACATTCCCAAACTTTTTCAGCTAGCAACCCTTTTTAAAAATATTTTTCAAGTTAGGAGAGTTGTAGTTGAAAGTTTTCAGAATTCGGGAGGGTTAGAGTTAGTTTAAAGCATTGAGATTTTGCGAAAGTTAGAGCTTAGAATTGAACGCTAGTGTACGAGTTAAATAGTTTGAGTTTAAAGCTTTGAAATTTTGGGAGAGTTTCATGTTTTTGATGTTTCGCTGTTAAATTCCAAGGGGTTTTGATGCTTAATGGGATGAAATAAAGAGATAGAACAATGTCATGCCACAACCAAATGTCATTATGTGATACCATAAAGAGATAGCACAGTGACATGTCACAACTAAATGCCATTAAACGATGTCAGTCTGAGCATGGTTTGAATCGACCTCAATCCTGACCACAACAAAAGCTTAATCCCACTCAATCCTGACCACAACAAAAGCTTAACCCCACTCAATCCTGACCACAACAAAAGCTTAATCCCACTAATTGCTGTGTTGATCGCACGCGCTCGGCAAACGAATTAATTTAGTTTCACGACCCGGGACTTTAAATTAACGACCTCAGTGTGGTGGATTAGTCCAAACGGGAAGTGTTTGATCCGGAAATTACAACATTAGCTTAATTACTTTTCACCCAATAATGTGTCACCAAATAATGTGTCACCAAATACAATTTGACGACAACTAATGTAACACCAACAATGTGTCACCAAATAATGTATCACCAAATACAACCTGACGACAACTAATGTAACACCAACAATGTGTCACCAAATAATGTATCACCAAATACAACCTGACGACAACTAATGTAACACCAACAATGTGTCACCAAATAATGTATCACCAAATACAACCTGACGACAACTAATGTAACACCAACAATGTGTCACCAAATAATGTATCACCAAATACAACCTGACGACAACTAATGTAACACCAACAATGTGTCACCAAATAATGTATCACCAAATACAACCTGACTACAACTAATGTAACACCAACAATGTGTCACCAAATAATGTGTCACCAAATACAATTTGACGACAACTAATGTAACACCAACAATGTGTCACCAAATTACTTGCCACCAAATAATGTAACACCAAATAATGTGTCACCAAATACAATGTGACGACAACTAATGTAACACCAACAATGTGTCACCAAATAATGTATCACCAAATACAACCTGACGACAACTAATGTAACACCAACAATGTGTCACCAAATAATGTATCACCAAATACAACCTGACGACAACTAATGTAACACCAACAATGTGTCACCAAATAATGTATCACCAAATACAACCTGACGACAACTAATGTAACACCAACAATGTGTCACCAAATAATGTATCACCAAATACAACCTGACGACAACTAATGTAACACCAACAATGTGTCACCAAATAATGTATCACCAAATACAACCTGACTACAACTAATGTAACACCAACAATGTGTCACCAAATAATGTGTCACCAAATACAATTTGACGACAACTAATGTAACACCAACAATGTGTCACCAAATTACTTGCCACCAAATAATGTAACACCAAATAATGTGTCACCAAATACAATGTGACGACAACTAATGTAACACCAACAATGTGTCACCAAATTACTTGTCACCAAAATGTAAGCGACAGTCTATCAAACTATATTGTCTATCCTTCCACTGTGCCGGCGATGATTGAAGTAGTCATCCACGGACAATTAACTCACCAATCGGATTTCTAATCTCATCAAACTTAATTAAAGCCAGGATTTATTGAAAAGTTCAGGTATTAAGTGAGGGGGTGGGGAGGATATCTTGACAGCTACATGATTAGACAACAGGTAAGTGGACTAGACAACAGGTAAATGGACTAAACAACAGGTAAATGTACTAGACAACAGGTAAGTCGACTAGACAACAGGTAATGGAATAGACAACAGGTAAGTGGACTAGACAACAGGTGACTGGACTAGACAACAGGTAACTGGATTAGGCTAGGCAACAGGTGACGTTAGGAATTTAGACTAGATAAAGGTTGATGTAGAACAAAGCTTGTCATCAAGTCACGCAGATAAACATGTTAAAAATTGAGTAGAAAAAAGTACACGCACACATCAACAACAGAAACCTGAACTTTAAATCTCGTCACGATAAAAAAAAACCTCACTTCTATCGCTGTCTGCAATTAATATTGTCTCGTCCAATTAACTCTGATTGATTGCCACCGTGATTTGGCCAGGATTGGGCGGGCGGGGGGTGAGGGGGAGGTGTGGGCAGGCGGGGAGGGGAGGGAAATCACACAACATCCAAACAACAAAAATCACGCAATCAAAAAGAAACTCTTCTATAAAACACAACGCAGCACACGGAAATGTGATGTCATTAATTAGCGGAATAAACTAATCACCGAAGCTATGATGAC